ATTATGCTATTCAAACCATCACACTTTTTTGATTATGTGATCTCAGTTTATACTGCAGTGGATATGTCAATATCATCAATATTTAATTTTTGTTGATATTTTGAATTTGTGGTGTTAATGTTTATCTAAGTTCTTGATTGGTATATTTTCTTAATGAGTGTCCCTTTTATTATTATGCAGTATTCCTCTTTAAACTTTTGCCTCAGTTATCTTATCTATCATATATATTAACAGACTCTCTATAGTTAGCATTTTCTTGGGATATTTTTTCTGTCTTTTTTCATTTTCAATATCTTTTATGTTCAGTTTTCTTAAATTTGTGTGCCTTTTAAAAGTAGCATGTATTAATAGCTCTTTTTCTAAAACCTGTTGTGGCAATCTACCTTTTAGTAATGAGTTCAGTCTGGTTACACTGATTGTGGTTACTGATAAAATTAGTTGTACTTGGTGTTTTTATTATCTGTTCTATTTACCTGTTTTGTTTTGTTTTTGTCACTGTATTTCTGCCCTCCCAAACATGATACAGTCTTTGACAGGCTCTAAATATTACTCACTACCCCCCATCACGGAAAAACTATGTAATTATGGATTTGTAATATTTGCTATATTAAGACATAGCAAAATATTTTAGATTGTACCTGTTCTTATGGAAGAGTTTAGCTCCAAATGAGAGCAAAAGCAAGTGGTCAAAAGTCCCCTGAGTAAGGGACGGAATGATCGAGACTTTTTTTTCCAAGGTGAGAAGCTTAGCTCAGAACTAAGGATGCCTTTCTGTTTGGCCTTGTGCAAAGGTATAGTAACTTCTCTTGTGGGTTAGAATATACAGAGAGCCATGTGTGTTCACGGCTCCTTACTAAGTGCTTAGGGGTGGGGGAGGAGAGCCTGCTCAACTCTCACTGACCACTGGAGGTCTGGCCAGTGGTTTCATTGTTCTAAAGCTCTATAAGTTTTGAGGTACTGGTACCTAGTCCAGTGATTTGTGCTTCTACTGACATTGTAACTGTCTTATAAAAGTCAAGCAATGTCCCAGTGCCTTTGTTGTTTGTTTTCATTTTCTGGAGGAAAAAAATATGTTACTCATTGTGCCAAAAAAACGTGCATTAGCTACATGGGCCAGGCCCTTAGGGCTTGGGAGGAACTTACTTGATAAGATTATTTGAGGATGTGGTTGCTTTTGAGGGTGCATTTCTGAGTTCAGCAGGGGAAATAGCTTCTGCGTCAGATGCGTCACATGTGGCTCTGCATGCCCCATGTGAACTGGCAGGAGACAGTGAGGGGGGGATGGTGGAGAGGCTAGGGCAGGGCCTGTGCGGCATTGCGGAGGACTTCTTCCTTGGGGTGAGTGAATGTGACTCACAGTAAAAGTCATATTTTCCAGTCTTGGCAGGAAAATAAAAATTAGGGGAAATATTATGAGGCAGTAGATTCTTATCAACATGATACCATCTGAAAATCAAATGGCCTTCTCTTCATTGATGCCTGGAGCACATGTACTTCTCCTGTGTAGAACTGACATGTTTCTACTTGGAGGGTGCCCTCCTGCACCCCCCACACTGGGCTTTCCAAATGGACTTGGAAACAGATTCCTGTAGCTGTGACCTAAACTTTTTTCCTAGCAACGTCGCACTTCCCTTTAAAATTCCTCTATACTCCTTTATATTGTACGGACGTGGATTTTTCTGGAGCCATGACATAAATTGGAGACTTTATATGGGGAATCATGTGGCCTCATGCAGGAACTTGCCTTCGTAAGTTAAGTGAAATGACTTAGTGATAGAGATGTTCCTACTCTGTAAGTGGTTACTTTCAGCATTTCCCTTCCTGTCCACCTGCTACCAAGTTGTGTCCTCTGCTGGCCAGGCCAGTTTAGTGGATACACAGAGTTGTTAGTAATTTTGCTTCTTTATTTTAGGGGGTAAACATGAGACAGCAAGTTAATTAATATGATGATTTCATAGACTCTAGAGTCAGGCCAACCTCAGTTCAAATCTTGCTAGCTGTGTGCCTTTGAGTGAGTCTCTTAACCATAGCACACTTCAGTTCCCATGTCTCGCCTCCAAATAATTACTAAAGGGTATTGAATAATATAGTATGTTTAAAGTGCATTATAATGACCCACCTTATATGAGAAAATTCTCATCAAACTGTAACTGTTAGCATTACTTTCCTAAGGACATTTAAGGAGAGCCTGCAAACCATTTTTTACCAATTTCATTGACCCTTAATCTGATTCAATTGGTCAGCTGTTTAGTATTCTGTAGCTACAATGTGGTCTATTCTAGAGCTTCTTGAATACCCAGTTTTTGCCTACATCCAAACCACATATTATGAAAATTGGATGTTTAATGATAGACCTGACTTATCCTTATTTAGAAAGAACATCAATAACAATTAGTTTTGTTCTTTTTATTTTTTTGTAATTAGTCTTTACCAGAGAAAATACATTTATTCCAGTTTAGCTAGCAAAGATGTTTGCTATCCTGAAGGCTATTTTCTAGTACTTTCTTGACAAAACTTGTGAAGACAATGATTATTGAGGATTTCTAGCAAATCAGTATGACATCAGCTGGAGTCATGGAAAGATCGTTGAAGGAGCAGTTGGGATTTGCAAGTTCAGTTCTGCTTCCAGTACGCTTTGGGGAAATCAGCTCTCTCCATCTGTTGGAGACAGTGAGGGGGGGATGGTGGAGAGGCTAGGGCAGGGCCAGTGCGGCATTGTGGATGACTTCTTCCTTGGGGTGAGTGAATGTGACTCACAGTAAAAGTCATATTTTCCAATCTTGGCAGGAAAATAAAAATTAGGGGAAATATTATGAGGCAGTAGATTCTTATCAACATGATACCATCTGAAAATCAAATGGCCTTCTCTTCATTGATGCCTGGAGCACATGTACTTCTCCTGTGTAGAACTGACATGTGGATGGAGCAACCCCAGAGTCTCTTCTTGCTCTGTGAACACCTGAGAGCAAGGCTCTTTCTCCTGTCATGGCCACTGGAAGCCCTGAGTCACCTGCAGGCTGTGTGCTGCCTCTCTGAGTAAACCCCAGAGCCCTTTTCTTGGCCCTGACTAAAGAGGGACTGTATTCATTTAGGGATTTTTTGTGGGCTTTGTTCTGTGTTTGAGTTTACTTATACAAAAAAGTTAATAACTATGTAAGAAATATATTAGGAAAAGTGTAGGGTTTTGTTTTCAGAATTCAAGGAAGAGTTGAGAAGCCATGGCTTAGAAAATATGGTAATGAGCCATCTCTGCATACTTTGACAGCAGGAATTTGTTTCTTCCTCTATTGTCTCTCCTATTAATGAGCGATAGGTCCCAATTCCCAGCCTCTGTCTCTCAAATTCCAAATTTCTAAAAATGGAATATCATCTGGTCTGTGGCCTGGGAAATGGGAACAGAATGTCCAACCATGGTTACATGGGTCAATGACTTTCTTAAAGAAGGTATAATTTTTCAGAAATAAGGTGGACATCAAGAAAAGGTGATTACTTACAGATATATATATATATATATATGTATGTATATCATTATCATAGTTTTTTCCCTCTGCTTGGGAGCTGAGTTATTGAAAAGTAGTCTTTCTGAATTTTTTATAAATGGAAAGAATTTTAAATACGACACTAATAAATTCTCTAGTAATTACATGTTTTTAATACTCCTGTTTTAAAATGTAGACTTGATTATTCAGGTTTGGTGAGGCCAACAGATCAGGAGATGATTGCCATTTGAAAGGTGGTTTTTTACAGTTCCCAGGAGGAGGATGCATGCCATGCAGGGGCCAGAGTGGATGCTGAAGGAAAATAAATGCTTTACCAATATCACAGTCTTAGTGTGTTTTTCTCATAGATTCATTGCTATGAAGCAGTCTAACTCCTAAGATTAAAACCCTATTTTGGGGCCTCCCTGGCGGTGCAGCGGGTTGAGCACTGTGCTGTGAAGCTGTACGCAGCCTCTGTAGCACAGGTTCGATCTCTGGCCAGCCAGGGAGAAACCCACATGGTGCAGCAGCCCTCTCCTATCTCGCCCACTACTCCCCTCAGCAGCGTCGTTGGTCCGTCTGCCTGTTCTGCTCCCCGCTCTGTCTCTGGTGAATTCTCTCATCCTCCCACGCCTCTGACCTGTACCCCAGTTCTTGTATAAATAAAATCTTTAGAAAAAATTTTTTTCAAAAACCCTATTTTCAACAAAACCCTATATACATGTCATTATCCCTTTTCCTCATCAAATATTTTTGAATAGCTTGTAGGTCCCATCCCAGAGCTGGGATACAGGGAACAGGCAGACAAGTCTTTCATGTCCAGAAGCTCAATTCTATTAGGAAGCAGACCATAAACAAGTAAGTAAGTACTTACTTGTGGTGGTAAAGCCATTTCTGACTTTCTGTTGCCAGAGAATGTGGGTCCTTGAGCCCAGAGGATGATGAGGGGGACATGGCATGAAGTACTGCTACCTTCTTTCCAGGGGATAGGGCTGCTCCATCAGCTACATACTTTATGATCACTCTTTGCAGGTCCTAGCAAGGCTTGGATATAAGAATTGATTTTTGAGAGTGTTTCAAATTCCCTTTCTTCTCTGTATCTTTATAGAAATTTAAGTGCTGAGTTCGGAAAGGTGACCTCCAGGGACTTGGAGACAAACACCACAGCTATGCAGCTAAATTTATGTATTTGCGAACCATGGTCTAACCTGTATTAATTACCCTGTTGATAATTTTACCTTTTGGTTTATTTAAAAAATAAAGCCAATTAGGAAATTGAAATGAATACCAACTACCGCTGCAGTGATCGAGCACCTGTTCTGTGTTCATTCGTTCAGGTCTCACAACTAGTTTGTGTGCACCGTTCTTACCACATCTGACTTTCGAGAAACCATTGACCAGAGACACACAATACCTTGTGTTGGAGGAATTGGGATTTGAACCCAGGTAGCTTTTCAGACACTTTTAATCCAGTCTCTAAGGATGATGATTTGTTAAGACACTCTTTCCTCTGTGTTCCAGGTTTTGCTGATCTTTGCAAAGGAAGACAGTCAGAGCGATGGATTTTGGTGGGCCTGTGACAGAGCCGGTTATAGATGCAATATTGCACGGACTCCAGAGTCAGCCCTTGAATGCTTTCTAGATAAACATCATGAAATTATTGTAATAGATCACAGACAAACTCGAAACTTTGATGCAGAAGCAGTGTGCAGGTACCTTCCTTAATTTAATATGCTTAGTAAATGTCCATTTAACAGCTTAAAATATGCTTCATTGATAGATGACTTTAATTCTATCCATATATTTCTAAAATATGTTTTGATGTTCTGAGTAGCTTATACATATTTCTATGATGAAAGCTCTAGCTCCTCCTATGGATTTATCTTGCCTTTTCTATTTTTCCATATTTGAATTCAGCTGAATTTAGAGGTGTGAGCTGGGCTGAACTGAAGACTTCAGAGTATTTTTCCCTTTGAGTATTACTCATGTTACACACACACACACACATACACACCCCACATTAAAATTCACAGAATTCTTATGACACAGATATGGTTTGAATTTAAATCAGGTATCTTACTCTTAATTATTCCGTCCTAAAGTGAACATCAAGAATGTGTGAAATTCAAAGTCTTCCCTGCCTGACACAGATGGGTGGCTCCTGCAGCAGTCCTGTGGCAAACGGAGCCACTTTGCAGCAGCAGAAAAGCTTCCAGAGCCCCAAAGCCCCCCTGCTTGTGTACAGAAATTCTTGCGCTCTGGGGAGGAAACATATGCCTACTCAAAAGTAAATGCAGTCTTAAAAGTTAGCTCAGGATGAACCGATCCATTTAGCAGAAGTAGAATGCTTTAGAGCTAGGCGGGAAGAGGTCACTAATTAAATGCTAGAGCAAGACAGACTCCAATTACATATGGACCTGGAATTTTCTTGAATATTAGTGATTATGACTTCTTTGACCCTTTGGTACCTACATAAGAATTTAGTGCTTTAAGAGGAGTTTTCTTCATTGCCTTGCTAGTCTTTGATTTTCTGTTTCCCAAAAATTTCTTCAAAAGGAACCTATTTTAAAATGCCTTGCTGGTTTCATCTTCTCTTTCTGCATATTTATATCCATATACTTTATCAAATATTTGGATGAATTTTTAGCATTAAGAAATTTTTTTTTCTTTTTAAATGCTTTTCAGAGCAGAGTGTTTGCTTTGTAACAAAGTAGGTCTACTTTTTCTTGGTCTTAATTCACCTTTCTTATATAATTTTATAGTGTAAATATCGCTTCCTTTCAGCACCATAAAATGATTTAAGACAGGCTTCAGGTATTAAAAATTAACGGGGGAAGAATTCTCTAATTCAGGTAAAGAACCAGGTTAACAAATAAAAGTTTTTAATCTTTCTCCAGTTTACAACAGTTTTGTTTCTTAATAACCATATTTCTGTCTTAGTCTCACAGAAAACTTTGTGATGGGAGTGGGGGTGCTGCTGAGCAATTCAGAAGCCAGGTGACCTACCTGGTGGCATGTTCACCAGCTATTCTTGGTCACACCTGATTGCCAACACTTGTTTTCTGAGATGGAGGGGTGGGGATAGAGGGACGTTCTTTATGTCATCTTAGGCCCAATCCCTGGCTTTTGAGCTACACTGGATCTTAGCTTAGCATGCTTCCTTCAGTCCCTGCCCTTTGTCCTCCTTAATCTTCTCCACCTGGAAGAGGTCCAGGCCAGACCTCCACTTCCTTGGAGGGATGAGATTGAAGAGTCAAGCACAGGTAACGAGATGAAAGTCAATCCCAAAAGAAGGCAAGTGAGCATGTGCCCTGGCCAACTTAAGTTCATTCTGTTTAAGTCTCTTGCCTAATGAACCCCACCTGCCAGTGTACTTGTGATTCCTTATTGGGGCAGAAGAGGCTAAACAAAGGTGAGAAGGACTTAGTGTTTTCTTAGAGACTAGAGCAGGCCTCTAATACACTCCATTTTTTTCCATTGGGTATTTCTACTGAAACTTCATAGGTTCCTGAGTAGATTCTAAGTATAGCTTTACCTTTCCAGGCCTTTTTCCGTGGGCGTCTGAGTGAGAAGTAGTTGGCACTAGCATTGGAGGGGTGTTGACTTATTTGCCCCTGTCCCACAGTGAGTTAAGGCCTTCTCTCCAAAGGAGTTTGTTCAAATACCACTTATCCACAAGGGGAAGCTTTTCTTGCCAGGGAGACAGCCACTGATCATTTTCTGGAATATTCCAGAGTGACGTCTCTAAGAAAAGGAAACAGGGAAAGTATATTTTTTTGAGAAAAGGAAATTTTGGAGTTCAAGAGGATGAAGCAATAAAAGCTGGCTGTCTCTAGGGGAGTAGTCATGCAAACATGTTAAAATGAAGAGGAGCAGAAATAAGATAGCTAGAAAGAACAAATACATATTGTATCACAAAATATTCAGGAGCAGCCTTGAGCCTTCTGTTCTCGGAGATGATTCCCTTCCTAGGGATCTCAAAATAAGCAGAGGCCAGGCCAAGGAGATAGATCAAAACATGCATGCTTATTTGTACTAAAATACAACTATGTGGCTCTTTATTAAAATTTCATCCAATTGATGACCCTGAGCAGAATAATTCAGGACATGAGTGGTAGCATAGCACATTTTCGAAGATGGATGAACCTCAGAACTCTACACCCTTATTTATTTTTATCCTGTTAAATTCCTAGAGAATTAACTATATATAAGGTCCAAGTACACAAATAACAATACAGTGACAATCACTATATTGCAACATTTCTCAGCCCTGGTTGAGGACCCAGTGGTTTAGAGCATTAGAGTGCACACACAGTGTAGCTGAAAGGTCCAGGCAGCCCCTGGTACCACCTTTAATAGGCCTTAACCTGCATTTGTATATTCAGCTGCCAGGAAGTGCTTTACTGATTATTATAAGGTCAGTTCAATTTTCTGAGCCTTTTTTTTTTTTTTAAAGAAAAGGAGATCCAACCCAATTAGCTCCCTAAGTACAAACTGATAACTGGAGAATTGTAGGACTGCCAATTTTTTTTTTTTTCAGAGTAGAATTTCAATCAGAAAGTGTGGAATTTGCCAGTTTTTGAAATGGAAAATTGGCAGGTCTAACCTGTTGGATAATTGCCTGAGAGTTAAAAAAAAATTTTTTTTTAAATAAAAAGAGATTGTCCCAACCAACAAGGGCAACTTTCTTTGTTGTCGTCTATGCAATTTTGGACTTTTTATTGAGAGGAAGATTTGATTTTCAATGTGAAGAAATTCTACTCTTGCTTAATGTCACAGAGCCCAGATCACCTGGTTTGACTGGAAGATTTCTCATTGCAGGTCTATCCGGGCTACAAACCCCTCCGAGCACACAGTGATCCTTGCGGTGGTTTCACAAGCGTAAGCTCACCTCCCTTTCCCAGCTACAAGTAGTACTGTTCATTCTGGAACATCTGTCTGATATAATCCAGGCTGTGAGCTAGGGGAGCAATCAGTATGTCTCTGGTCTTACAACACCAATCTTAATCTTGCTGTGGGAATTTTTTTTGTTTCTCAAGTTTCTGGAAATATTTGGGCTCTATTCTCTATCATATCTAGTTGCTGTGAGCACATACTCATATCCAAAAGGAAAAAATAGTCACTCATTATATGCTTGAAAGGAATAGACAATCTGGGGAGGAGGTGGTCTGGAGAGAACATTGTTCTAGTTTATTTTTTTTTTCTTTGAAGAAAAGAAAAGGGGGGGATGCTTGTTTTCTATTAAAAAAGAAACAAATTGAAGCATGAGAACAAAAGAGGTGCTAATCCACTGAAAAAACATGCCGTTTTTGTTGGAACTGTTGAGTGGTTAGAATTTATGTGAATGTTGGAAGGCAAAGAAAAAAATTGGATTGAGTTGTTGAGTTGTAGGTACAAAACTGTGGAATGAGAAATTGCTCTTCTGGGTTTATTATCTGAAATGACCAGACTTAAAAGGAAAGATCTAGAAGAAAAGAGTCATTGTACAAGCTACCATACTTGGTATCTTTCCAGTGATCAAAATGTGTTGTTATCATTTAATGGCTATCATTAGCTTCAGAAAATAAGATCTTAATTGAGGCCTAGAACCTACTGGACTTGGCTGCACAGGGCAAAGGGCACATATTCTGCAGTGAAGGAGTTGATAAGCCAACACCTCAGACAGGAACATTGAGATCTATTCTGGGCAAGCTGGGCCCTGGAGAGATTGTAAATACAACTTTCCAAAGCTGTATTGAAATAGTGGGAAATCATGGCGTAAAAGTCTTGTCCTAACCAAACATTCCTGCTTAGCTGCTGCTCCTTGAGTTCCCTGTTAGAAGCTGTGTGTCTTCACTTTGATACCTACTGTGAGCTATAAACCAAGGAAAATGAAGAATTTGTCTGCGTTGGTTCCTTGATGCCTTACCCTCCTTGGGAGAGGGATCTCAGGAATGAGTGAAGGGAATCAATCTGTGAAGTCTGCCTTCTTCATCCCTCTTCCTTGTATTGTATCTTCTGGAGACTGAGGTCTTGCAAGGGTCTTAAGAGATACCAGAATTACACCAGGCTACATTGCATCTTCCCCAAGCCTGGCTTATTTCACTGACCCAAGAATGAAACACTGTTTTTTTGCCTGCTCACATTCTTTCCCATTTGGCAGTGGGGTGCTGAGAGTTGGCCCAGCTAGGGGTGGGAGTTGTGCTTTCAGAAGGTTTGGGAACAGCTAAGAAGAAGGTCTCTGGGATGAGCCTTGCACATCCTGCATTTGCTCCAACTCCCAAGGGCAGCCCAGCGTTGAAGACGGCTACTCTCAGTGCCTGAAGTGATGCTTTCAGGCTCACTGCCAGAGTTTTTCTACTGCCTTTGTCCTTTTTGCATTCGGAAGGTGGATGTGGGAGTCTGGGTCCTTGATGGCAGGTGTACCCCATGGCCACGCGGTGGTCAGGAAGTTACCGTTAGAGCCACGCCACGCTTGCCTCATTGCTCTCTCTCCATGTTTCAGTGTGAGGAATCCTGGTTTATATCTGCTGAGTGACCACATTTTCTGCTTTGCTGCAGATTGGGCGACCATGAAGAGGCCTCAGTCCTCCCTCTTCTGCATGCAGGCTTCAACAGGGTATGTAGAAGATGAACCAGCACCTCGTCAGGTGCAGGCACCTTACCCTTGAATTAAGCCCCAGGACTGTGAGGGGGGCGGGGTGGGGAAACTGTTTCATGAATAATAATGGACAACTGCTAGTCCAGTGTGTCTTGTTCCTTTCCTAATTTCATATATCTCACCTACAAATATGGAGTGACCTAAGAAACACCTTACTATAGCAAGTCAAAATTCTGTATTACCAAATAACCTCACTTAAATCAGTCTAGTCAGTTAGATTCATGTGAGCATGGACAGTGCTTCTGACTTTTGGAATTGATAGTTGCAAAACAAAATCGACAAAGAAGCCATGTAGCGGAGACTTCTTACTCATTTTCTGAGAGAGAACTTAAAATGATTCTCAGTTTTCAAAGGTCTTCTGGTTAATGTTGACCACTTCATGGTACCCCAGCCCAACGCCCAACACTGCCCCTCATCTCTAAGGGCAGGACTCTGGAGTGTGAGGCTGTGTGTTTTCCTCACTGCCTAGGATGGATGGGAGAAGGGCATGCCTCCCGAGCTTACATTGAAGAGACCCAGGTAGGAGTTGTAAGGTGTCCTTTGGAATTCAGCTGCTAGTTAGGTGATCCTACCTCCCACTAGCATAGATTTTGGTGTCCTGCTGGTGTAACAGGGGTGGTCCCCAGGAAAGGGGGAGGTTCCTCCCTGCCCTATAACACTGGGAGGGCTGAGAATGCACTGCACCCCTACTTCCAGAAAATACTTATGGGAAACAGTTGACCCTCTTAGGGTACAAATGCTGTTCAGTAAATCTGAGAGGAAAAAGTTCCATTGTTCTATATTTTGTAACCTGTCCCTGCTGCTCTGGAAGGTTGCATTTCTCTCTGTCTGGATGTGGTGCTGCTTTTTGCGGTCTGTCCCAGTAAATAAGCCCTTGGTGAGGGAAGATGAAAAGCAGCACCTGTCAGGGTCCACCTGGTGTTCTTGAGTGCCTGGTCTCACCAAGACCATTTGCCAGCTAGGTCAGGGTGCCCCTGAATAGTTTGGGCTCTTTTCAAGGGAAGCATACTGCACCTAGAAAGGTTTTTCTTTCTGAGTTACTGTGGCACAGGATCAGCTGAGGCTGCTTACCAGGTGGCTGATCTCCTTTTTTGGGCAAAATCGTGTCTTTGGCAACTCTCTACCCAAGCACCCTTCCAAATATGCCAACTATTCTTGCTTCCGTGAGGTTGTTTCCTTCCTCTGATATGTTTTGATTGTATTAAATCATTTGCTGAAGCTCAGTCTTACTTTGCTAGCTGATTGTCCAGTGCTTCAATCCGTGGGTCTCTGAGTGGGGATCCAGGAACACATTGTGCCATAGAATATTCCACAGCAGCTTCCCTTAAAGCCTCTGCAGCTATCGTAAGTGGCTGACTGCTGCTGCTCAGTCCACTCTGAGTTTTTGAGAACCAGTATCTTAGCAAAGAGGCTGTTGTTATATCAGTCTTTGTGTGCCTTTTTTTCTGTGTGAAATGATGCTTAATCAATTCAACAAGTATTCATGGAGCACTTACTATGTGTAGTGTAATGTGCGAGGCATGCCTGTGACTTCCTGATTCCTCCCCAGAGTAGCTTCCTGTGGAGTGGAACTGGTTTGTCAGGCTCCATCCTAGGTGATTTACTTACTTTTCATCTACAAATGAGATATTGCATATTTTTTCTATTTTTGCAGAGGAGAAAGCATGTTGCAAATGACCAGATTCAGCTTGTCAGAACTTATACTCATACCAAAGTCAAGATACAAATGTATGCTGTTTAATTTCAAACTCCGTGTTGGGTCCACTAAGTGCTCTTTTCCAAGCTGTCCCATGAACACTAGTGTTCCAAAAACTCTTTAATGGGTCTTCTGTGAAAAGAGGCTTCTATGGTCTAGTAAGTTTAGGAAATCAGTAAAGACTCTGTTTTTCCTCCCCCCTCCCTGTAATCCACATTAACAGCATGGCATGTGAGCACATTGAGTGCTCTGAGAAATCCTGCAGTAAAGAAACCTGCCTCAATTTTTAGATATAGGGCCAGGAATCTTCATTTTAAAGAAGAAAAATACCCAGGTGATTCTTAGATTTTTTTTTTTTTAATTTTTAAAAAAAATTTTTTAAAGATTTATTTTTATTTTTATTTATACAAGCACTGGGTACAGTCAGAAGTGCGGGAGGGTGAGAGAATTCACCAGAGCCAGAGCGGGGAACAGAACAGGCAGACTGACGAAATACACTGCTGAGGGGAGCAGCGGGCGGCAGGAGAGGTCTGCGCGCCATGTGGGACCCTCCTCCAGTGGCCGGCTGCGGGCAGCTTCGCAACCCAGCGCTCAACCGCTGCGCCACCGGGGAGGCCCTGCAGGCATGGTGTTTATATAAAAAAAATACTATTAATGGGCCTCCCCTGGTGAAGCCAGTTCGTTCACCGGCCGCCAGCGAGGGTCCCACACACACAAAAAAAATACTATTAATAAACCTCAAAAAGTACACTGCTGAGGGGAGCAGCGGGTGGCAGGAGAGGTCTGTGCGCCATGTGGGACCCTCCTCCAGTGGCCAGGGAGCAGCCGGGGATCGACCCAGCGCTGCAGAAGCTGCGGGCAGCTTCGCAATTCAGTGCTCAACCGCTGCGCCATCAGGGAGGCCCCGATTCTTAGATTTTTTTTTTATACTTTGAAGACCACTGCTTTTGATTCACTCAAATTATTTCAGATATATGGATTAACTACAATCTGGAAAACCCCTAAAAGAGAAGGCAGTGGAATATTCCATTACCTCCAGTCTTCAAAACACTCATTAATGCCAACTATGTGCAAACAAAGTACTCCAGCATTTAGAAACCATCACTTGCAGAAAGGTGTTCTGTACTGCAATGGATGTTCTTAGGAGAGCTGAGGAAAAACTCATTAAAAGTTATTACAGATATGAAAGTGAAAATATACTATGACCATATATATATATATATATTCATATCTTTATATGAAATACACACACAGAGGCATAATAAAAACCTAAGGGAAATAAAACAAAATGCAATGATACCTCCAGCTTATGACATCAGTGATTGGGGTTTTTTTCCTTTATAGCTTCTCATTTTATATACTTTTAAATTAATATGCATTACTTTTTAGAAATAGATAACAAATTCTACCTTTTATGTTTTCTGTCTTAAAAAGAAAAAAAAAACCTACTTAATGCTGTTTACCCCAACATTTTTAAAACTTACTTTATGAAGCATCAGCCAACAACACTCAGAGATCTGTGCTGTCTGGTAATCAACTGTCCAGAAACTGAACCCAACCATGTTTAACTTTGCTTTGTAAATAGAAAGTATCTGCCTTCTGTGTATGTTCACTGCTTCCCCTCTTTCCTTAGCCCTTTGAAACTTCTACCTGGAGTAGTGGGGGGCAGGGGCATAGGGCAAGTTGGAGGGCTTCAAAGGTGTTCTCTAGGAAGACACCATCCACACTAGAGAGTGTGTGTGGGAGGGAGGGAGGGAGAGAGAGAAAGAAAAGGGAGAGAAATATGGCAAGGAGAATGTGTTAGGTACTTGGAAACATTAAGCAGGAAGTGAAGAAGGCTTGTTCCCTTGAGAGGGATCCAAGATGGTGTGGCACACACTAAGCATGTCCAGTGTCTGGCCCCAGAGGACATTAGAGCCACATGAAGTGAAGGTGTTCAGTCTTCTGTGCCCTTTTATGCTTATTTCCCTGTGCATACTCATAATGAAGTTTTTTTCCCCACCTTTGTTATCAAGGGAGTTAAGTGTACAGTATTACCTGCTCTGCTGTTTCTCATACATTTAATAAGCATTTCAGATACCTTGACAACGGTTTTATTTCATCTCATCTTCCCCACTTAGGAATGTCTTATATAACAGTTGCCTGGGGTGGGAAAAACTGTTAAGTTTCTTTGTTTGACTCTTTAGGAAGTAATTGTATGTCTTATGTATTATCTTTGCTTTCTTTTCAGAGATTTATGGAGAATAGCAGCATAATTGCTTGCTATAATGAATTGATTCAAATAGAACATGGGGAAGTTCGCTCACAGTTCAAATTACGGTATGTAACAAAATAAGATGGAAAATGAAGTTAGCAATTCAGTAGAAAAGCTTGGTTGTCATCAGGTTGATGTTCACGGGTTTGTAGCTAAATCTCAGGGATTTTGAAGCCATTAAACAGGTAATGGTAGCTGGCAAATGCAAAATCTAAACCTGGAGTACATTGGTATAATGAAATAAATTGGAAGCATTTCTCCTTTTGCAATATTTTCCACTACTTAAAGTAGTTTTAAATTATAGCCTAGGAAAAAGTACTGTGAAATTTTTGTACAATTAGATCAAGATTAAGAATAGAAGATTGGAAGATTACTTGGAAGATTACTTTCTAGTTACTCCTTTCCACATTTATAAATTCCTACTTGGATTGTTACAGATAGGGGCAAACCAGTGGTTATATTTATTACGCTAACCTTAGTAATCCCTGTGTAACCATGATAGCGATTTCATGTAGCCAGTGTGCAGCACTGGTGTGTGTGAAGTACCTTGAGAAACTGATTTTCAGTCTCTAGACAGGCCCATAGTGCTTTAAGAGCAGGCTTCTCTTCGGTACTTACTTCTGGGTTGGGGTCCTCTGAGTGGTACTCTGGGCTGTCTTGGAATATTGGGGGCCTTTCTCGTTCCTAATTTTGCTCAGGCACTGTTCTGTGTGCTCCTGGGACACTGATGTCCAAACACCACCATGCCCACCCCAGCAGAGAGAGCAGGGGAGGGGTGCTCTTCACAAATTAGAGCCCTCCAGGGGACTAGTTCCAAGTGACTTCAGGCAGTGGGATGTCTGGAAGGTTCCTGGCATACCTTCCCTTTGGCCAACTGTGATGTTACTGACTGACTGAGACTTAGTGCAAAATAAGATAACATCTCCCCGTAATAATAAAAGTTTGCATTCAAAGGGGACAAAACCCTTCTTAAGCATAATTGTTCTCTGCCATTCTCTCTCCCTCTGGATGGACATAAACCTATGCCTACAGAGGCAGATTCTTCTGGAATTCACTCTGGTCAGGGAAGTCACTTTTTGGTGGACAGAGAGCTTCAAGAAATAAAGTATGGAAAGATATTTTGAAAGAATTCCCAACCAGTGGGGGGTTCATGTATTTTCAACACTGGCAGTGAAGAATTTGAAAGAATAAGTTAGATCCCTTGGTTTCTGTTTATCTATATGTTTATCAGCTTTGAAAAACTTCATAGAATTTGTCAAGAAAATCATGTTGCTTTCACTTTAGCAATTTGTGGTTTTAAATAGTGTACTGTAGTGTTTTTTTTTTTTTCTTATTCCTGGGTGTGTCTGCTATTTATAATTGAGGGTAAAGAGGCTTCATCTTTTATTTTAGATGTTTAATTCCTTAACTATTTTCTGTTTACAATAAAAGTGAACATCATAACAACTTATTGCTTTGCTGACCATTCTCTCATTTTAAATAGTGCTTCTTTATTCTTAGGCAGAATTAATGTGATGGCACATGTAAAATGCCAGGAGTGCCGTGGTGAGTAGAGTGAAGGCAAGTCTGGAAACTTAAAATTAACATGTGCAGTCATCAGCACAAGGGCTTAAAGAAAGGGTTTCAGGGTATTCATGAAATCTGCTGAAAAGTCAGGCACTTAAGGTGTCATCAGATTCAGAACTTTGCAAGTTTTTAAGTACCTCATGCTACATAAACACTGTAATTTCTCATTCCTCATTGGAGCTGGTTGGGGGAATTAGATCCATTGTAGAGGTCATAATGAAAAGCTGAAGTTCTCAGTACAGATCAGTGTGAATGGTGAATGGACTTGACCCAGGCAGGCAGTCACCCCAGGAAGGTGGGTTTGCCCATCGCCCTGATCCCTTTGTCATCCACACTAGCTTAAGCTAGGCTGCTAAGGAGCTTTTCTTCCTAGTCCAGCACAACCAGCAGGAGAGAAGTCCTGTGACAGAGGAAGAAAGGCAGGAATCCCCCTAACTAGACAGAGAAGACTAAAGGGTTGGTCTCTTCAGTTGCTTTTTGCCCGATTCTGCCTTAGCTGTTGCTAAGTTCTCTCCCTCCTTTGGAGGGTTGTGTGCATGGCACGAGTCTGCTACATCTGGCCCCAAAAGATAGGAGGACAGTGACCCACACCATGACCTCCTGGCCCTTTAGGGCACTCCAAGGCAGGGCATTGAGCACCTTCCTGCTCCCTGGAGGCAGGTGGGCAATTCACTTGCCACAGACTGGAAAATGAGGTGCTTTATTATACAATGCCAGAATAATTATAGTCTAATTATATAATACTTTCCCCTGCAATTCCACCCCCAGCTGCAGCTAAATATGTGACATTACAAGCATTCTGCAAGGACAGTCTGTACTGCAAGGACGATGTTCAGTGTTGAAGGCAGACTCTTCCCCCTTGGTCTTCATATATGGTGACCATATTTACTTAAGAAAAAAAGATCATGTGATCCAATAAAATATATTAGCTAATTTGAAAATTTGATTATATAGAGTATCTTAAAGATAGAAGAACAAAAATCACACTTCTGTATATTTTTTTTTTTAGAGGCATGTTTTATTTATTTATTTATTTGTTTGTTTGTTTGTTTATACATGCACTGGGTACAGTCAGAAGCACGGGAGGGTGAGAGAATTCACCAGAGCCAGAGCGGGGAGCAGAGCAGGCAGAAGGACCGAAGTACACTGCTGAGGGGAGCAGCGGGCGACAGGAGAGGTCTGCGCGCCATGTGGGACCCTCCTCCGGTGGCCGGGGAGCAGCCGGGGATCGAACCGGCGCTGCAGAGGCCGCGGGCAGCCTCGCAACCCAGCGTTCAACCGCTGCGCCACTGGGGAGGCCCCACGTCTGTATATGTTTTGATGAATTGCTTTTTTGAACAGAATATTCTTTGAAATGGCAGTGTCTCATGAAGTACAAGTTAAACAATGACCATCTCTTACGCCTCTTTATCATGAAAAGAACCATCTTGTCCAAGCTACTTATTGGGAGTTTAAGCCGATATGTTTATACAAATAAAGTCTCAGCTATTTCATCATTAGTTGGTCTGACAGCTATCGTTGGGAAGTTACATCTTATTCCAAGACTTAAGACAGTAAGCAGTCCTCGGTTTTTGCCTTCAAAATTTCTGATGGGAAAATTCTATATTCCATGACACACTACATCATTGTGTTAACAGACACCTGTATGTAGGTTGTATATGACAGCTCTAGTACTGTAGGGGTAGAAGCCAAGTTGTAAAGGCTTAAAGGGGGTGGCTCCTACTACTTTGCTGCCCATCCATAGCAAGTCCATGATCCCCTTGGCTTCTCTGCTCCTCCCATACCTCTGCTGGGAAGTGGGATCAGAATCTTCTCCCTATAAGCCGTAATCTCACCCAGTCCTAACTTTGTTTCAAATAGCATGAGCATGTGTGTGTGTGTGTGTGTGTGTGTGTGTGTGTGTGTGTGTGTGTGTTTTGGAGGGACATAGGGACATAGGTAATCGTGTAGCCCAACCATTCCAGGTGCAGCTGACAGGAAGCAGACACTGCTGGGGACACTCTTGAAACCATCATAGCCACCCAAAAGTGTTGATGGTAGCGCTGGAAAGAACCTGAGGCCTGAGTCAGCTGCTGGGCCCAGGTGCCTGGGAAATACTTCTGAGAAGACTTCGTCTCTCTCACCTCTTTATGAGAGGCAGTGGAGTAAAGACAGGGGTAATAATTTTCCAGTCCTCTTTTAGTCTTTTTTCCCTCCTCAAATGATTGTGTTCATAAATGCAGCAGTGCTAATAGAACAGTTATTATATGATTCAAATTTGGTTGAATGGAGCAATTTAGGAAAATATATACTGTACCCATTAGGAATTTCAATTGAGTTCGGTGTATGTTCTCCTTTGCCCCCTACCTGTGTCATGAATTCTGACTTTACTCATCCGCCCACACTGGAACCATCACCTGTAGCTATAGGAACACTGTCCCTCAGGGGCAGAAATCCTTCTCCACTCCCCATGCAGATTACCTTGCCATTACTGAGTAGAGTTCTTGGCTTGACATTTTCAGCATCCTCATGAGAAAAGATAGGTTATGATTCACTTTTCTTTTGCTAACTGCCTCAAAGAACAAAGAAATACTATCTTATAAAACAAAGGTACCGTGTATTGAATTCTTAAATTGTTGCAAGCACTTTGAGAAGTGCCTCCCATAAACTGTTTTGATTCTTATAACAATCTGTAGAATGTGTCATCCTCCTCTTGTAGATGAGGAAACCAGGAACCAGAGAAGATAAAAAGTTGCCTAAGGTGCCATAACTTGCAAAGTACAGAGCCAGGTTTCACTAGTTCTTTCTGCCCTTTTCCTGGTGAGCAGTTCAAACAGGATTGCAAAGTCAGATGCCTTTATGAATGGAAAGAATGAATAACATTTTAAGAGTTTGTTTTATAAAGAGAAACATCAATCCAGTATATCAACATTTTTTGGTAACGTGTAAGAAAGCCTTCACTGGGACTCTTTAAATAGTACAAATATCCAGCTCTAGTAACAGGCTACATTTTTGCTCTGTTGGATAGTAAATGATGTATTTGGAGTCCCTCTAGATTTGGAAGGTAGTTAAAATTCTGAGAAATTGAAATGATCTCAAATATTCCAGGTTTACAAGGAAAAGTACCCACCTGAAGAGGTGTATGACTACTGTTGGCAAGAGAGTTCTGCCAGCGGGTGTGGTTGGAAGCAAAGTATTATAAAAGGTTGTTTATCTGAGATCAAGAAAGTAAGAAAGGCCAGAGTACCTCAGGTCCAATTTGGGCCCTGTTAGGTTCTCCTAATTGACAGAGACTTCTCAATGGCCACTCTGTGAATTGAAATAAGAACGTCATTGGCCTAGAACAAGATAGACTCCTCAGAATCTGCATTCTCCTGTGTTGGTGTTAAATTCTCACTTAGCACGTGTGCAGTTCACCCCATCCTTATTTACTGAGTTAAAAGTCTTTTTGTGTCATATACACAGACATACAGGCTGTTGGTTTTATTCATTTAATTTGAAAGGCAAGGTTCTTTTTCTCAACATGTATCAAAGATACTGTTTTAATGAATCTGAGGGAGTGTTTACTTTGATAACAGATGAAGGAAGAATGGTTTTATGGCAAAACTAACATCAGTCTTTTGCAACTTTTACAGGGCCTGTAATTCAGTGTTTACTGCATTAGACCATTGTCATGAAGCCATAGAGATAACAAGCGATGACCATGTGATTCAGGTACGGGGTCACTTTATACCTTTAGATGTCAAAATGGAATCTCAAATTTGAGCCACCTTTTTTTTTTTAAGTATTTCCCCATAATTTTCACATTTTAGCACATTTTCTTAGGGGAAAAGAATATCAATGCATGCAAATAAAACTGATAAACTTAAGAATTAGATATCAATAAGAATAAAAAATACTCAGAGCAGAACCTGTGATTTCCTTTACAGAAATGGGGTAAATTCTGTGTACCTTCTGTGGGGACCGCATTTCTACAGCAGTATATCAGAACTGTAGAGTAAATATGTATAAATGCTTATGGCAACAGAGTATTTTCTGAAGTACTCATTTCTTTGCCTGCAGTTGGTATTGTAATTATAAAGCACTCTTACATATGAAAGCCAGCTTAAGAAATGTGGCTAATAGGCAAAAATTTGTTGAAATCAAGTAGTCTTATTATTTGTTGGAAAGTAAAATATTTATACTTAAGAAGTACGCTGAAACGTAGACATTCCACTGATGAGTGCAGGCCTGTCTGCAGTTGGTTTGCACAGAGATGGTGAGCATGAGAAACACCTGCTCTCATCAGGAGAGCCCAAGGACAGTGTTCCACCCTCAGTGGCCCCACAACAGCCTCACATTGTCCTCCAGGGAAACCGCTGGCTGCTCGTGGGCACACATGCCCTGCTCCTGTTCTGAAGCAGCAATAGCTGCAGCCCACGATGCCCCAGCCCTGTCATCAACACATTTGAAAGATTCTCATTGCTATTCAGTCACCCTATGAAATAGACTTAAGTGCCCCATAATGCAAATGGGAAAGTTGAGGTTTTATGACAAAGCTCAATGGACTTGCCTAAGACAGGCCCTGATGACAAGGGTTGGAACCAAATTTTGTAACTGTGTCTTACTGACTTTGAACTTTGGCTCCGACTTTTCAGTGGCCAGTGGTAGTGCTTTCAGAAGGGCCCCGGATAGAGTAAGAACATAAACTATCCATGATGCCTCCTCACAAAATCTATAGTACAAAGGTCGTTTTCATTTCCGCCTTACATATAACACCCTCTATTCACGTTACTCCTTATTTATACTTTGTCTTTTATGTTCAGGTCATTGGTAAGTTTTTAAAGTTGGTCTAAAAAGACTCCCTGAGAAAAAACTGCAGTCAGTGTAGTTTTCTTTGAATGCAGGGACTCCCTCTCCTCTTTCCAGGGGCCCACTATTTTCAGTCCTCGTTGCTTCCGGTTCCTCCTGAAGACTGGGAAGTGATTAATACGTAAAGTGGCAACATCACCCTACCCCCTCTCCCAGGGATATGGGTTTGCAAACCACCAGTTGACAACCACAGAATGCAGGACTGGGTTCCCTATTAAAGGAGTTATGTGTAGAACTACAAGTGGGGAAGGAGAGTAGCTGGTAGAGAGCCCTTTTTCTGTTACTGCCGTTGTGACTGCCTGCTGTAAATGGTGCATAGCAAATGTGTTTCATGGACAGAATTGATTGTTCAGGTTGTGGGTGTAAGCGGGAGAGATGTGGGATTCGTGCTTGGTGTGTAACAGAAACGTGTCTGACTTCTCTGTAGCCTAGGAAGCAGACCTGTGACTCGCACGACAGTAATAAGTAGCAACATTCAGAAGTCTTCAGATCCATTTCAAAGGGCAGCCAGAAGCACAAATTCTAAAATTACATACCCATCCAAACTCTGTTTGCTTGCAAACACTTCTCTGGTGCTTACCTTATGCCAGGCGTGATACTAAGCATTTTACACATACTTCTTTATTTCTTAAAACAATCCCAGGAATTGGTGCTACTGTTGCAATCACATTGCAGATGAGGGAACTGAGGACAGAGAAGATGAGCCATCACCCACAGTCAAGCAGCTTGTAATTAGCAGAGTCAGGATTTGAACTTGGTCCTTTGGCTCCAGAGTCTATGTCCTGGCATACCTGCGACATGCTGAAGCTACATACAGGAACCCCGGGCAAAAGAAAGGCCATGACTTCAACTCATTTGCAACCTAATAGGGAAGGCAAAATAAACACATATGAAAATGGCTGAGGGAATAGCCAACAAATAAGGCAAATATATTCTCAAAAGTTACCCATTCTTTTCAGTATTTTCTAAACTGCCCATGGTATCCAAAGATGAATCCAAAGTGGCCTTTGCCCTTGAGAATTTTCGTGTCTTGTGGGAGAGAGAAAAGTAAACAAAAAATTAGCTTGAGTGAAGCCACTCGACGCTTGCATGAGACCACAGGAGCCCTAAGGAGTGGCACCAACAGACTGGGCCTGGTTTAAAGGACTGCTTCCTCAAGGAGGGAGAATAAGTCAAATCAACAGGGCAAGGAGTTGGGAAGGACATTCTGAGCAGAGAGGGAGTGTGGGCAAAGGCTCATAGGTGAGAAGTGCAGGCAGCTCAGCCACATGCAGGAGCAGACTGAGCCTGGGAACACCTGGCGAACAGGGGCCAACTGCCCTGACCAGAAAGTAAGTGATGGGAGGTCAGTGCCCCCCCTTGCCCTTCAGACGACCCCAAAGCATCTTCTGGATCCCTCCAACTCCTGGGTTAATTGTATGAATAAAGTTGTGTTCCCAAGGGGATAGCTCCCTAAGTATCATCGCTTCCCCGGGTTCCTTATTGCTGTTATCACAGCAGAGGGCAAGAGTGATTACAGTTTGCAAGAACATTTCTGAAGCAGCAGATGGATGTGAATTACGCCCAAAGAAATCTGTGACCTACATGAGGTGTGCTCACATTCCCCCACATTCTCCCTCACTTGTCTCCCTCCACTCAGCTACTCATCTAGTGATTGTTCTTTGAGAAGAAATTGGAGGGTGGGGACAGGAGCAGGGAGTCACCCAAGGTAACACAGCTCTAAATTCCAAGACCCTGGGCAGAATTTTGGAAAGAAACCACTGAGTCAGCCCCAGAATGAGTCTCTCTTCACGCCTGCCCTGGTCCAGCTCTGAAAGGACTGCCTCCCTCCGGAGCCTTTTAGCTGAATTTATGGTTTGGATAATACCAGAAGTGGTCCCAAGCCATGGCACTGGGAGATAGTGGTGATAAGATTGCAGGTGTTAGAGGTCAAGTTACTGCCTTGTAAAGATGTGAATCATAGAACATCCTGTTGCATTGAGTTCTAACAGCTCATATTTCTATATTTTTCCCCAATTTTTTCCTTAGTTCATGGGTGATAGGCAATTCATAATAAGGCCCACCACAGGCTGGCCCTGCTAGATGACAGCTTCTTGCCCTTTTTTAAGATTTATTTATTTATGCATACAAGAACTGGGGTACAGGCCAGAGGTGTAGGGGGTGAGAGGACTCACCAGAGACAGAGTGGGGAACAGAACAGGCAGATTGACTGAAGTATACTGCTGAGGGGAGCAGCAGGTGAGTCAGGAGAGGTCTGCTGCGCCATGTGGGCCAGGGATTGAACTTGTGCTGCAGTGGCTACAGACAGCTTCATAGTGCTACGTCTTAACCCCTTGTGCCATAAGAGAGGCCTCGCCCTTTTTCTGTTGAAGAATTTCTCCCATTTCCCACAGGGGACCAGGACTCGAGGAAAGCACCCGCACCATAGACCACTGGCCCAGGCGACACCTCGCTAGATACCCCAGCACACTTCCTCTGTGGCGGCAAGCACTCCTACAGGCACGCGGCATCCCCATGCTGACCTCTCACTGCTTCCCCTTCACAGTACGTCAACCCAGCCTTTGAAAGGATGATGGGCTACCACAAGGGCGAGCTTCTGGGGAAGGAACTGGCCGAACTACCCAAGAGCGATAAGAACCGAGCAGACCTCCTGGACACCATCAACACATGCATCAAGAAGGGCAAGGTGGGTTTAACCAACAAAACACAGTCACAAATCCCTCCCTGGCACAGTTGTTTTTATGCAGTCCTCAAGACTGGCTTCTTGACTATTGTTTTAATTAAGTGGCCAGTTCCTTATGTTTGCAAAATGAGTTGATGTTGGATATCAAGTGAGTTTAGTGCACACCACCATGATAGAGAATCTGATCATTTTACCTAAGAAAGTTGCATTCCTTGCATGAATGTACCCCAGCTGTTATTGCTGGAATCCTTCCTACCTCCTGCCCTTCCTAGCCCATAGAGCTGCTGTGTGCTTTTAAATCTGTCTGGTGTTTGGGTGATGAGAAGGACTTAACGTCCAGATTTTCAGGGAGGCCCAGTTATGGGTCAGTTTTCCTTTCTGTGTTCCCTTTACTCATAGCAGTTCAACAGAGGTGTGTAGCTTAGTTCTCCTGCCGCACCATCTTGCTCAGTGACTTCCTCTTCAACAGGGCAGGTGAGGGCGATGGCACCAGTGCAGCGGGGAGTCCCCGCACACTCTCCCCTCAGAGGTGCTCTGCTTTCATAGCTGGACCCAGCCGTTCATTTTCATTGCAGACCCAGAACACTTTCTCATGTATTACTTCATCTTGTTTTCTCTGACATGAAGTAGTTTGAAAGCATTGTGTGCCTTTTAGTGGGGAAAAGAAATAAAGTACATTAGTATTATATACCATGGCCAAAATTTAAAAAAAAAAAAAGGCAGTAAGGCTGATAAGGATATAAGACATTGTTAAGGATTCTACTAGCTTGCCAAAAGAATAGTGCCACCCACCTGGTGGGCCCAGATGTGTACCAGGCTGCTGTCTCAGGTGAGAAGGGTCAGAAATGACTGCAGAGAATCTCAGAAATTACAAAGTTGCCTCAGGTTCCTCTGTGAGGTCGCCTGGCTCTTCACCCCAGCTGTTTCTCCAGGACGCAGAGAAACAGCGATCTTCAAACTCCCTTTCACCTCATCCCTGGCATCTGCCACAAGCTGGACTAACCCTAAAGATGTAGGTGGAGACCCGAAGGATGTCAGAAAAACAGGGCTGTAGGGAAAGATAAGACATACTAATATGTAACCTCCACCTCTTCCTGTGGGCAGATTACTCTACAAGCCTCACTTTACCCATCTGTTATTTAAGGGAGATCATTACGAGCTCACAGGGTAGTGTGAAGATTTTGAGAAAGACCCTGGAGGAGTCCCTTGACAGATGCCACTACACCCTCAGGACTGGGAGCAGGAACTCCACCCACAGGCCCTGGGATCCAGAGGGCAGCCTGGCAGAGGACACTTTGGTTTTGTGGTCTTTGTGCACTGTGAGCCTTACCGAGCGAGCATCACAGTGGGTGCAGCGATATGGGGGCGTTTTGTGAAATGGACCGAAAGCATGGGAGAACTTTACTGCTCAACCTGGGAAGACCCTCTGTAGGGGCAGCCACAAGCCTCAACGGAAGGATTTTAAGTGCTCTCTTTGTCCATGTATAGGAGTGGCAGGGGGTTTACTATGCCAGACGGAAATCCGGGGACAGCATCCAACAGCACGTGAAGATCACCCCGGTGATTGGCCAAGGAGGGTGAGAGCATACTCTTGAACTCTTCTAGCTGAAGGGCCCCAGGTGGGCGTTGTGTTTGCATATCGAAATGCCAGTAGGGCCGGGCAGTACAAAGTCGGCACCAAGGACACTCACACAGCTGGCGACATCCTCCAGACCCGGCTTCCCTACCCCCTTGTCTCCTACTTGTGGGCTCTACCCCAGCTGCCCACCTCTACCCAATCTTCTGTGAGTCCATTGTCCCCACTACCTCTTGAAGGGTCTAAATTTCTAGACCTTCTTACTTTAGAACAACAAAACAATGGGCTCCCTGGCCCTGGCCCTCCACCAGCAGCCACACTTCTGGAGGCACCAGCTCTGTGCTGTTTCTCTGAAGCTGGTGCAGGGTTTGCTCCACTTGGGAGAGAGAGCCCTGGAGGTCATGGTGATGGAGAGAAAGGGGTGTCTGACTCGAAGCTGAGAGGATATGATTCCATTTAATCTCAGGTTAGTAGAGAAGGCTATTCATTTGTGGAGAGAGAAGGTAAATAGGCATTTTCTTTGTTCTCCTGGTTAAATTTTGTGAGATTTATGAAGCTAAACAGGATCTCCTAACAATCCATCACTGAGGAGCCTTTATAAAATAAGCCTGAAAGTCAGCATCAGCTTTCTACTGTGAGCTTCTAAGGGGCACAGGCCACAGGTGACATTTTGGGGGTATTATACCAGTACCCAAAAGAGGAGAGTCCCACTGTGACTCTTTAGGATGACCTGAGTTCCTTGCAAATTTTTGTGAGATTAGAAAATAGAGACATTCCAGAAAGTTAGCAGAGCACCTGTATGTTGCTTCCCTTCCAGTTTTCTTGTTTGGTTAGGTTTCAAAAGTGTTCCCTGCCTTAATTGGGAAACAACTGTCTCCTATTGTAATCTGTCAATCGTGGCACCTTTTAGCTTCATGGTGGGTGTTGGGGGCAGAGACAGACCCCTAACCCAGGAGGATTCGTGCTGCCTGAGTCGCCCTCTGGGCTTGCGAAGGCCTCGATGTGGTGTTTTGCACCAACAGTCAGTGCTTAGGGACCACAGTAGCTGCCATGTGGTTGTTATCATTCTTAGACCATCTTCTCAGGAAATTTAGGATTCACTTAGTGTCTGTGACCAGAATTATCAGAAGACCAAGGTGTAGGAGACTTGTCATTGTTGGTACTTTCTGTCAGAATTTTTCTGACCTTTCTGATTTACAGATAAGATAAAGAAGTTTTCTTGTCCAGACAGGACTTCCAGTGTTTTTCCCCCAGTGGTTAGTAGTGAGCTGTCAGAAGACATTCCTACAGAAAGTAGGGAAGTCTTTTCTTCCTGTTTTGTGAATTTTCTTGCAGAATACAGTATTTTCTGTGCTTTCTTCAGAGTCCTTCAGAGAAAATTGATCCAGATAAGATTGACGGACAGACAGAGAGACGTTGACTTTTTTCTGTAAAGTCTTAACACAACCCCACAGGATTCCTGGCTTCACTTTCAGTAGAAAAATCTATCTGAGCTGACTCCTAAGGCACCCATAGTCTTTGCCTGGTCTTCCCTGTGGTAACAAGCAAGACCACAGGCTGACTTTCAGGATCCTGCCCGTGACCTTAAAGGAAGAGACTCTTTCTCTGCCTGAAAACTGCCACTGCATGCTGTGAAAGAATGTGGAATGTTATAAAAACAGCAACCATGAAATTTGGTCCTTGTCCAAATGAGTCTTTTGCTTTTTATATTGGCTATAAAATTATTAGTGTCAGCAGAATTAAAACAAATTTTGTCTGGAGTGGCATTTCATCCTATCACTGAAGACACTTAGGAGCCAAGCTTCAGGAGTCAGTTACCAAATGAAATACCCATTAGGAGAGTGTTTCTGAGCCAGCTATAATATAAGGGAAGGAAGCCCAGTTTCTGAAGGCGTGTGTGTGGGCTGTGTGTGAGAAATGCATTTTCTGTAGATTGGGTTTTGCTTGAATTTTATATCTGCGGAGGATGGAACCTGCAGTTTTGCTTTAAGAAGACTGTTGATGTTTTCATTTGCTGATTTGTTGTATCATCTCATATCTGACTCACTAATAACTGATTATTTATGTTATTAGGAAAATTAGGCATTTTGTCTCCCTCAAGAAACTGTGTTGTACCACTGACAATAATAAGCAGGTACAGTATTCAGTTTGCTTCATTTGCTTTGTCAGCTTGAGTACGCTGCATTCTCACCACTGTTCTCTGCCTGTGTCTGTCTTACTGTAGTTGCCATTTAAGGCTTATGGCAAAATTAGCTTCCTTGGACAAATAGTTTTTAAAATTCCCCAGTAAGCATATGCTACTTTATTACTTGTGCATACCAGTTGTGATTTATCTTGTGATTGAGCATCTTTAGACTAATGTATTTTTAAGAAGTTAAAATTTTTCCTCCAAATTAAAAATAATGTATTTTTCTATCTTAATTTCTTAAACAAAAGTATACATGCATTTGAGAATTTCATCTCTACAAATCTGATTGAAAGCCAATCCTCCCAAATAAGTACTGGTATTTTTTTTAGCATTATGTTACACAGAATCATGCATTCGAGTGTTGTCTTCTGAAGTAACAGAATTTTAGTAAGTTACTATATTTAAGAAATTTCATAAGGTACTTTTCATGAAGGACAGCATTGGTATTGGTAATTTTTTTTTTGATTTATTTTTTAAATTCTGGATTATGTATATTTTCACATCATGTTGTAAAGTTTACTCATTTAAAAGTACTCAACAAACTGATCTATTTTTGAAAAGATACAGAATAGGACCTTTGACATGGAGGAAGATTTTAAAAGAAGGGAAGAGGTTTCTAAGGACAGGACTCTGGGGTAAAATCCATTGTAGTGGGACATGCCAAAGACTTGTGGAGCGTGGTATCAGAAAGTAGAGCCTGACCAGGCAAGGAAATAAGTAGGAGGAAGACAGGACTGGGAGATGCCCTGGTTCCTCCCAATTAGAAGGTGGCTCCCAGGGGGAAGTGGACTGAGCTCCCAAGGGGCAGTGGAGCTTCCCAGCACCACTTATTGAAGAGACTATTCTTGGCTATTCTGTGCAGGACTTTCAATTAATGTCTCAATCCATGGAAGGTATCCATGTCCATAATGATTCAATATTTGTAGCTATTGCCAGTGATAACCACAGTAAATCTTTCTTAGCAGCTTCCAAGTATGAAATGCCATGATTTATATAACTGAAAATTTGTACGTTTTGACCCCCTTCACCGATGTCGGCTTCATCCCCATCTCTGGCAACCACCAATCTGTTTTCTGTATCTATGATTTCAGTTTTGATTCTCATTGATTCTACATTCAGGTGAGATCATGTCATTTTTGTCACTTAGCATAAAATGGCGTCAGGGTCCATCCATGTTGTCAAGAATGACAGGACTTCTTTCTTTTGTACAGTTGAATAATATTCCATATTATGTATATTCCACATCTTCTTTATTCATCTCTCAGGGGACACATAGGTTGTTTCCATGAAATGTAGATAATGCTGCAATGAACATGGGGGTGCATATATCTTTTCAAGTTAATGTTACCCTTTTCTTGGGATAAATACCCAGAGGGAGGCTTCCTGGGTCTTATGATAGTTCAGTTTTTAACTGTTGGTGGAATCTCCATACTGTCTTCCATAATGGCTGTTCCAATTCACATTCTCACTTAGAGTACATGAGGGTTCCCTTTACTTCACGTCCTTGCCGACGCATATCCCTTGTTTTTTGTTTTGTTCTGTGTTTTTGATGAAGCCATTCTAACAGGTTTGAGGTGCTTTGTGGTTTTTGATTTTGATTTGCATTTCCATGATGGTGATGTTGACTTCCTTTTTATGTACTTATTAGCCATATGTAATTCTTAAAATAGGATTACTCATTTGTTTGTCATTGTGTTGTATGGCCTCTCTATACTTACATTAACCCTTATCAGATATGTAATTCACTAATTTTTTTCGCCATTCAGTAGTTTGCCTTTTCATTTTTTTTAATGGCTTCCTTTACTGTGCAGAAGTTTTATCGTTAGATGATGTCTCACTTGTTTATTTTTTGTTTGGTTGTCAAATCCAAAAAATTACCAAGAGGGATTTCAAGAAGCTGTCCCCCTGTTTTCTTCAAGGAATTTTATGGTTTCAGGTTTCATACAAGTCTTTAATCCATTTTGAGTTGATATTTGTGTATGGTATAAGATTGTGGTCCAGGTTCATTCTTTCATCCAGTCTTCCCAGCACCACTTATTGAAGAGACTGTTCTTTCCGTTTTGTATTTTTGACTCTTTTGTCATAAATTAGTTGACACTTAATTCATGAGTTTATTTCTGCACTCTTTCTCTACTAATACAATACTGATTTGTTAACTATAGCTTTGTAATATATTTTGAAATCAAAAGTCAGCCTCATGACTCAAGACTACTTTGGCTATTCTAGAAATAGAAGTCTTAGTAATCTTAGTAATATCCATGTGCTTTTTCTTAAGATTCAGGTCAACGTAAAATACTTCCTTCAGCACTGAGAATTCCATCTGGAGCCAGGAAATTTTCACTTAATACCATAAAGTCATGCGAACAGGCAAGTCCTTAGAGACCTCTGGGGAAAGAAGGGAATTGACTTTCATAGGAAAAAAATAATTCTCCCAACAGCGAAAATCAGACATCCCAGGAGGACGAATGTGGTCTGTGTGAGAGGTGGTGTGAGCAGAGACAGAGGTTCAGGGGAGCTCAGTGGCTCTTTCGAAATGAACTGCTGAGCCCAAGCAGTTTGAAGTGATCTGAATGGTCTGTGGAGCCACGGTGCAGTATGCAGGCTCACGTGGACTGGCTTGTGCTCGTTCCAGAAATGAGCCACATCCAAAATCAAGCCCAATCTTCCCTCCCCAACCTAATCTTGCTCCTCTACCTTTCTCCCTTAATGAAGGGAGCACTAAATCTCCCTATTTCCAGTCTCCTTGAAACTCCATGTAGCTAATTCTGCTAGTCTTCGTAGTACTTCTCAAGCCATCTCAGATCCCCTCTCCCTCCACAAGCACTCACAGCACCTTCTCTGCTGTCTGCCACCCACACTGTTATCATGGCTGCTGTGTGCCTAATTGCCCTCTCCTCTCCAGCAGGGCCCCTTGGACCTACTTGTCTTTGACAGCCCACACTGCCAGCTACTTAGTAGGCCCTCAGGCTAATGGTTCGCTTGAAAGAAATTATTCCCTGCCCTCCTACCAGTTGTAAAGTCCTCCTTCACAGGAAAAGCAAGCCAGCTCTTAGTATAGGACTTAGGGATGCAGAATTGAGGGGCCCCCTCTTTTTTGAGGATCTAAATAGAAATGTCTCATAACTTAGCTGCTCTCAGAGAAGAGTGGAAACAGAGCTCAGATACCCTGAGCTGTTGACGTCACCTAATGGCGTTGCACAGGCCTGGGGAGACAATGAGATTTTCCAATAACAGAGCATTTTCTCTCTCTGGCTAGCCAGATTTTCCTCCTCTTAGAAGGAGGCTGAAGTGAATGGCAATGGCTCTGTGACAAGTACTCCCCAGAGGGTGGGAGCAGCCTGTCAGGGCTGTAGCCCTGACGTCAAAATCTGTCTGTGGGTTTGCATTTTAATGAGTGAGACTAAGCCAGGCTTCTGTCTGCTGGCTGAGCTTGTCATCAGTGAAGAGCTTTTTCCCTATGTGAACCTGGTAGCTTTTTGTCAAGAGACTGGAATACTCAGCGAGGTTTGTCTGCTGTCAGCTTCGTTGCCCTTGTACCCTGAACATACTCTCGCCCCAGACATGTATTAAACAGCTGTCCTTTGCCAGGGACACAAGATCTCGGCCACAGACAGATACATGAGATGCATCCCCTGAGCACGGTGCAGGGGAGGTGCAGCGCAAGCACTAAAGGATTTTTTTTTAGGTGTCATCTAGGCCATGGGGGTAGCAACCAACAGCCTGCAGGCCACAAGTGGCCTGTTTGTAACTGAAGTTCCATTGGGCACAGCCGCACTTCTCTCCTTTGTGGTGCATGATGCTGCTTCACCTACAGTGGCAGAACTGAGTATTTGGCAGCAGAGAACTTAAGCCTGCAGAGCCTAAAATAGTTACTATCTAACTCTTTACAGAAAAGGTTTGCTGACCCTATTTCTGTAATATAATATCCTTTCTTGTGTTTCCCACTTGTTAGGGTAGGGACAGTCTGCCCAGGCCCTCACCAAAGGTCTCCCCTCTTTGGGCATGCTTCTCTAGGCACCTTTGCCTCATGCCCATCCCTGCACCCTGATTCAGAGCCTAGCTCAACCCCCTTAATACCGGTGAAGATATGAGGACCGGGTTCTCTGGAGGCTCTTTCCCTTTCAAGAGGTCCAAATCTAAATTCAAAAGCACGACTCAAACTGAGAATTTCAGAAATCTGCACCCATGATCCAGCAGGCAAAGAGGGCAACCCTGCAGCGGGTAGTATTGGAGCTGATCACTGGCTCCCTCTTCTCATGCAGGGAGGTCAGGGAGAAGCAGAGATTTCATGTGCAGTAGGAAGTGGGTTTTTTTTTTTTTTTGTGAAATCAAGGAGCACAACCCACCAACTGGTGACTCCAAGAAAGATTCTCTTGTTCCAAGGAGGATATAGCCAGGGGAAGGGCAGTGATCCAGCTCCTAGGAAGCATTCTGCTCCCTGGCTAATCATGGTTCCAAGACAAAGGCTAATTGAAAGAAGAATGAGGCCATTCTGACCTGGGATTTGCACAGAGCTTTCCAGAGCTGGAAAACAGGGATCCCTTCCTTTCAAATTGCACTGGCCACCTCCTTGCCCTTATTTCATGAGAGAAGGTTGTTTCAACCATGAAAAATTAGGAATGACATAATCTCTGAATGAAAAGTAGCTACTTAACTTGGAACTTATATTAGTATAACACTGATTCTAGTAGAACACTGATTGGTAGAAATAAGTTCTACTGCACACTGATAAAAGCATCGTCACATCAAATCTGGGGACCAACATTGGGGAATCACTGCTTGCAAGGCACTTTCACATACGTAACTTATTTGGGAATAGTAGAGGCAGAGATTGGGGCTAAATTTGTGATGTTTACAATGATGAAATGTTATGATGATAAACTTCTTGGTGTTCATTCATGTTTTGTAGTAAGCAATTTAGCCTTGAAATTGTAGGAAAGAGTAGG